GCAAATGTTCGCTGTAAATATGGACAGAACTCGCTTTTGCCTTGTTGATTTCGAATTTCGCACGGAGAGACGGCGCTGAGGGTGAAATATTGGCGACGGTGGCCAAAAGGAAGAAGTGACAACAAAAAGTTCAGCAAGAGCGACGTTGGAAGACGCCCTTGAAGTGTTGCCGCCAAAACATCCCGTTGGGAGTTTCATCTGTACAGGAACTTCGCACCATGGATATTGGGAGACGAACTTCCGGTCTTTATGAGAAAGTTGGCAGAAGTGGACACGGCTCAAGGGTTGCGTACTTTGCTTTGAGCTGACGAAAGCGCTGTACGGGATTTAGTGGTTTTTGTTTATGAATCAACGAACCACAATTGGAATCAACGAACACTTGAATCAACGAACACAATTGAATCAACGAACAGGTGGACGCTGAGATTGTTACCATCATTAACCTGGTTAATCCTGCCAGTAGTCATATGCTCATTTCGAAGACTAAGCCATGCATGTCTAAGTACAAGTTTTTATACAACGAAACTGCGAAAAGCTCATTAAAACAATTATAGTCTATAATTACTACACCGGGATACCTGTGGTAATTCTGAAGCTAATTACGTGACTTAACATCCTTTTGGATGTCATTTATTAGATAAGAACCAACCTATGCTTGCATAGTTATTTGGTGATCCATAATAAAGCTCGTGAATCGCATGGCATCTGCCGGCGATATTCCACTTGAGTTTTTGACTTATCAGCTAGACGGTAGGGTATTGTCCTACCGTGGCATTGACGAGTAACGGGGAATTAGGGTTTGATTCCGGAGAGGGAGCCTGAGAGACAGCTACCACTTCCACGGAAGGCAGCAGGCGCGCAAATTGTCCAATCCCAATACATTGGGGAGACAGTGAAAAGAAATATCAATGCAGGACTCATGTTTTGCAATTGGAATGAGTTTAACCCCAAATCCCTTTACAAGTATCAATTGGAGGGCAAGTCTGGTGCCAGCAGCCACGGTAATTCCAGCTCCAATACTTTTCCCAACATGAACGTTGAAATTTGGCGCTCCAGCTTTGTTGAGCACCAACCTGACGCGCAACCAGCGGCCGCAAAATGACGAAATATTGTTGGAGAGCGAATCGTCCTCAATGTTTCGAGGTTCGAGGCCAAAATTTGCAAGATTGGTTCTATTTGTGTGTCGTGTGAAAATTGAAGGTTACAGAGACGGACAGGTTCGCCCAGCTTCCCAATCAGGCACGTGAGACAAGTTCGGTCTGACAAGGTCTTCAGTTCTCTTTTTAAAAAATGAATTCGTCTTCGCTGCCATGGAGTTCTGAGGAAGATTATTTTAACGACATGTTCCTCTGGCTTCAATATCCATTCGACACATTTTCGTTCGCTCGATTCACTCGTCCCGAATTTCCAGACGGATGTGTGCTAGCTTATGGAATCGCCAGGTTGTGTGGCAATGTTCCTCGTTCCAAAGTTTGGCCGTGGGTGAAATTGCTGGATGAAAATGTGGAGAAAATTCGCGAGTTTGGAGAGACCTTGGCAGCTAGACATCCTGTTCAACACCAGTCGAGGGCCCCCCGCCGTCGTTACAATACTAGACTAAATCCCGAGCAACCTCCAGCGCTTCACCCATTCCTGGACTTAAGCAAAGAGGACTTCTCGAGGCTACTAGAGTTGGAGTTCAGGAATCCAATCAGCATTCCGATCCAAATTTTCCTTCAACGTTTAGGGGAAGTCAAAATTTCTCAAAGCACAATTTCCATCACAGAAACTGGGGCAACACCCAAGTTCCATGCATTTTTGGATCTACCCCTCGGCCAGCTCTTTACAATCTTGGGAATTCCGATCGATATAAGACACACAACTAGGGAGCGTCAAAGCAACGGCACGATAAGAATTCCGGACTCCGTTTGTACTATTGGGTCGATTCCTATTTTGCGCGAAGAACACAAATCTGGAGAAGGGGGTTATGACCCCATCGATGCAATTTTACAGCTTGAATCTGTCAAGCCTGCATATCAGAAGTTTCCCATATTAGCTGCAGTTCTGATTGGAAAAGAGATCCAGTTCTTTCGTCATTGTTGCCATTCTTCAGTCATAACTGAAGTGTCCCGCGCCTATTTAACCAGAAACAAGCTTCCATACCGAGGGAATCATCTGGTATTGCAACATTTAAACTACTTTAAGGATCCATCGAAGAGAGACCGACTACGCCTGTTCCGCTGTGTGCTGAATTGGAGTTTATATGTTGCTCATTTGCTCTTGCCAGCCCTTCTTGAGCTTGAGCATGAGCATGAAGACGATAAAGGCTATAAGTGGGAAAAGAAAGGACGTGGATTCGAGCAAATCATTGAAGTGAAACGTCACGAAACAACAAATGAAATCCGTGTCACAAAAACTTTGACAAAATTTCAGGGATCTCAACTTGATCTTTCCGCCATCGAAAGGTGCTATCAGGAGCTAGGCAGAAGCGTGCTTGACGCCACTGTATTGAGAGCAACAACAAATCAAGTTTCTGTGAGGATGGAATACCTTCCAAATACTGGATTCCCTCGGGATGCTAGTGAATTCTTTCTAGCTGGTATTGCTGTCGCTAGGTCCCTTGAGATCCTTCACGATGCAGGACTTTGCCATTCTGACGTTAGGTGGGCAAATGTTCGCTGTAATATGGCCAGAACTCGCTTTTGCCTCCTTGATTTCGAATTTGCACGGGAAGACGGCGATAAGGGTGAAATCTTGGCGACGTGGCCAGACGAAGGAATAGACGACATAATGGATTCGGGGTTCACGAAGAGCGACGATATACTCATGACTCGCATAATGTTAGAAGACGCCCTTGAACTGTTACCGCCAAGCATCCTGTTGGGAATTTCATCAGTACAGACACTTCGCGACATTCCTCTTGGATCCATTCGTCCGAAGTTTATGAATGAGTTGGCAGAAGCGGACACGGCTCAAAAGTTGCGTGGTTTGCTTGAGCAGACGAAAGCGCTGCACGGGATTTAGTGTTTTTGTTTATTGAATCAACGAACACCACACAATTGAATCAACGAACACCACACAATTGAATCAACGAACACCACACAATTGAATCAACGAACACCACACAATTGAATCAACGAACACCACACAATTGAATCAACGAACACCACACAATTGAATCAACGAACACCACACAATTGAATCAACGAACACCACACAATTGAATCAACGAACACCACACAATTGAATCAACGAACACCACACAATTGAATCAACGAACACTACACAATTGAATCAACGCAGACCAGAACAGGAAGATGAAATGGGAGATCGCGTAATGGACGGTGAGAGGCGATTACGGAAAACTACTAAACTCCACCCCTGATCCATGTGGACACTGCAACTTGTGGAGGTTGGGAGACTTCATTCCTCGTCACTACGGTGTTGCGTTTGGACGAACTTAAACGGCCTCTAATGCCAGTGCCTCATGAAATTGTATGATTCAGCGACAAGTTCCGATGCACGCATTTTCCAACATGTCTAGGATTTATGGCTCATCAATTATATTTGAGCAACAACCAGCTTTTAGGAAACATACCAACATTTCAGCGCAACCAGTCGCGGCAAAATGACCTCCGTCAACCGATGTAACCATTGTATTGAGTTTTGGAGGTTCGAGAAATAACAGCACAAATAATTGTTGGATAATGAATCATCCTCAAAAATTCAAGATTTCGACACAATCTCTACACAGGGCTCTTTAGTAATGGTTTCTCGCTACTTTCGCAGCGGACAGTTTTCCATACAAAAAGCAATCTGAAAACAAACTAGAGGCGATGAACAGATGAGCTGGCAATTTCAGGTTACTTACACCTTGTGGATGCGAATATGGCAGGTTTAGACTTTGTTTCGTGTTCTGCACATGTATCTTTTGCCAAGGGTTGAGCACTGTGCACCATCTTTCGGCATGATTGGAAAGCCCTTGTTGGGAGGGAAAGGAGAAGTCGCAGGCTTGGCAATTTGAATGGGTTGTCTGGTTTCTTGACAAAGTTGAAAGCTGGCCTGTCTTTCGGGGCTGTCTTTTTCTTCGGTTGTGAGAGTTGGGAGCCGCTCTTGCAAATGAACTGTTCATGGCAGACTACTAAGCTGCTGTGGGCAAAGTGTTTAACGCAGTTGTAGTTGCAGTATGCTCTCCCGTTGATCTTGCTGTTTCTGTTTGAGGTTGCGTTTGTCATGTCTTGTCCAATCGAGCTCTTCTTTGTTGTGTATTGATGACACTGTGTATTGATGATTGACGATTCTCTTCGTAGCTTTTCGAGCTTCCACTTCCTCCCCGACATCGTCATCCTGCCGTGTCTCTGATTCTCAACGCACTGCGGTCGATATTGCTTTATTTTGTCTTCGTCGTTCAGAGGAATTGCATGATAGTCCAAGTGGTGGGAGGTTCCTTGCATCCGTACACAGTAAGGCCACTGCGGCAATGATCCCGAAAGACGAAAATAAGGCGAAAGACGACGATGTCCCCCCTCATTGGACAATTATTTCAACTCACCCATGAACAACATCATCAATATGCAGGATAATTATCAACCACCAAGCGATCACGCCGTACCTCAATTCGTTATTTTCAACGTCTCAAAGTTTATCCATGTTAAGGACTTTTTGCATGATTTCACAGGGTAAAGCTCTACAATCCTGGTAGATGTCTCCGAATGCCCGCACGTCCACCACTGCCAAAATTGTGTGTAGATCTCACAGTCGATGTCGGCGTTCCATGCCACCTTACAACACAAATGACTATGATCAAGGCATTTATGATGTCAAATACCCTCTCCTAGTGAAAAGCAACAGGAAGTGTATGGCGCTTATCAAAAACAAATGGGATTTGAAATCTCTGTCACACAAATACCGACAAAATAAAAACTACTGTTTACAGACGTAGGAATTGCTAGTTGGGTCGATTGAAGGGTTCTTTGTCCGGACCACACTGAGCTAAGCCCATCCTGTAATTATGATTGTGGTCACATGGCTGCAATTGTCGCTTTGGAAAGCTGGCGCAGGCAAGGCTTTGGTGAAGAGATCGGCGACGTTGTCAAAAGATGAAATATATGAAAGTTGAAGGAGACCAAGCCAAGTTCCTCTTGTTGGCGAATGGATGCGGCTTTATTCAAAATTGTCTTCATCCTTGAGTGGTGAGCGGATTGATGCGAGGCTTGAAGTGCTGCTGTACTGTCCGTTAGAACCAGAGTTTGTTGATGATCTTTAGACTCCTTGAAGATTTCTTGTCGGAAATTGCTCAGCCAGACCGTCTGTGTGACTGCATCTTCGAGAGCGACCAGTTCTGCGAAACCGGTGGAATTCGCGACCATCCGTTGTTTCTTAGATCTCCATGATACTAAGTTACCTCCAAAGTACACCACATACCCAGAAAAGGATTTTGAATCTGAACATGAGGCATCACAAAAGGTGACGATGTCAGTTGGAGTTGAAGAACGACGGTAAAGGAGACAAAGATCTGAAGTTCTGTTCAAGTAGGAGAGAATTCGCATCGCTGCCGACCAATGTTCTTGAGTGTAGACTTCTTGGAAGGTTTGAAGAAGATGAACTGCAAAGGAAATGTCGGGTCTTGTGCCGCCCGCCAAGAAGTTGAGTGCGCCAAGAACTGCTCGGTATGTTTCGTCGGATTTCTTCGCACTTTGGTCCAAGAACTGTTGTCCTGGCTGCATGGGAATGATGTTTCGATGCTGTCTGACTGGATACTTGTCGAGCAGCTGATCGATGTAATGGGACTGAGATAAGGAGAGGATTCCTTTGTCATACTGGATACAGATTCCCAAGAAAAGCTTCACTGAACCGCACAACAACATTAAGCGGTCAAGAGGAATGCGAACAGCGGGCAGGGCCGCAAGGGAACAGCCGGTGACGGAGTTTATCCAACTGGAGGAAGACTCCAGCATCGAAGCCAGGGACCTAGCAAGCGCTAAAGGTTCCCGGGGAACAAATCTGATCGGATTTCATCAGACCACTAAGTGCAAAACTCGAGGAAGCAGGCATCGACTTTCCCAACTGCACAACAAAAATCAACCACCTCGCCTTTGCCGACGATATCAAAATCTTCACCAACACAGCTGAAAGTCCTCCACAACGAAGTGCTCAAATTCAGCAACTGGTCAAAACTTCAGATTTCAGTCAACAAATGTGCCTATTTGGCTATTAAAGATGGAAAAGACGATCCAAATGCCCCAGACACCTTCTACAAAGAACGCCAGGACCAACAATTCCTGTTTTAACGACCACCTACAACAAGATCTACAAAATCTTTCGATCTCTTTTACAACCGTGGCAGAAATTCCACGCCATCCGTACGAACGCTGTACCAACAATGCAATACATGATGAAAAACTGCAACCCAAAAAAAGAAACACTCTACAAATTCGACCATGAGCTCAGGAGAGTGATTTGCGTCGAACTCAGACTTCCCAAATGCGCGTCCACTGAGTTCACCCACACCGACGTCAACAGAGGAGGTCTCGGATTCATGAAGATGACCGATGAACAGGACTGCCTGACAACAACCCACGCTATCAAAATGATAAATTCGACCGATCAGTCAGTCCAAGAAATTGCCCGAAGTAATCAACCGAATCAAAAAGAAATACAACACACCAACGACCATCTTCAAGACCACACCGCGCAAACGGTAGAGAGCATTGACGGCGTGATCAAGAAACATGAACGACGTCCCGAAAAACCTTGCAAAGTTTGGCCTCAAGGCTGAGGTAATAACCAAAACGACTCGAAGAGATCAAGAGACACTGAGCTTAAGACAAGCGACTCGAATGTAACTGTGAAGACGCTCAGCCAGCGCCAGTATGAGCTGTGTTTAGCTCGATTGTTGAAAGCTTGTACGAACAACAAAAAATATCAGAAGTAACGTCGCAAGTGATGTTTGATGATGTCAGACGGAAGGAACACCTTCGAGTGTCGCAGATGAAGTCGAGTGGCTGTTTCCATCAGAACGTCACCGTCAATCTCAACTGGATAGGGAACGGTTTTATGGAGAGTCCGGGATTTCAAACGGCCACAGTTGAACATTAACAGCTCATACTTCATGAGTTTCATCAAGATCCTGGAAAAGTATGTCAGAACTCTAGTCTGGTACCACATCATCATCTTACTTCAATGAACGTTCTTCTCGAAGAAAATGAGCGAGACGTCTCGTCCTTCGTACGACCTGCAATGCCACTTCAAGCGCCAAATTCTAAGAAAACAGCATCCACCAACGGCCGTCTCATTCTTTTATCAAAGCCGCCATACACCTCTGAAACGCAGTGGATGGGCCCCAGTCGACCTCTGTGGTGAGATCTGACGCTAGAGGTTGTAAAACGGTATTGGGCTCGATTGCGAAGGCCAATATGGCAAGCCGCGCACATTTGTGACAGTTACACCTCCCCGGTACCCGTTCAGACCTCATGAATATCAAGGCGTCGCTAGCGTCCCCTTCATCAAACATATCAATGAAATCATCCCACTTCCAGAAATAAGCAAAACGGGCAGAAGAGAAGCGAATTGAGAAGACTTCGAATCTTTGATCTTCACATCAACCATTCATCATTGAATCGCATGATAAATGTGGACTGCTGAGGAATGACGTTAAAATATTGGATTGAATGGCGAATGTTCGACACTCCTCTACCATGTGCTTCTTCCAGGCGTTTAAACAGACCCCGTTTGGAGACTTCACGAAGATCTGGTTCATAGAGCCATCGGTAAATATCTCTTGCTGCATTTGGTACTAACAGTTGGTCCAGAACTCGTTTGCTCTCCTCACTCGATAAGGTGTGGCAGCGTTTAACAAAGTAGCGGTACAGTTGAAATCTAGACTTTGGGGAGACAGATTCCGATGAGCTCAATCGATCCATACATTCTAGTACCAACGTCTTGTCAGACAAATCAAATATGTTATAACCGATTGGAAGAGACGTTAGCTCCTTCATATGAGTCTCTGATGCGTTGGCACCTGAAGGTTAGCAAACCAAGGCCAAGTAAGACATTCGCGATGTGATCTCTGTCATGTACTCTGAAATTTCCCAAAAGTCGAGTTCCCGATTACTGTTTTCTTTCTGAGGCTCTTCTGGAGGGATGGGGAAAGCTTACTTGGTCCGCGTTTTGTTGACTCGTTAGCGGAGACCCGAGTTCTATAATTGCTTTTCATCATCTAACTAAATTTCCAATGATCAAGAAAATAGAAAATGTGATTGAAATTGAGGAACAACAGAGAAATTGAAATCTGAATAGATTGGCGTATTTTTAGAACTGGATCTAGAGGAAACATTTTCATCGATCTGTGTGAAGTCCAAGAACAACGTGACCATAGAGTCTCTTAATCCCACGTCCACAGTCTCATCAGCTAACAACCGCACAGGCGTCACGAAGATCGCATCGGAGCAATTTAAGAGATTTTTGGAAAGCAATCAAGAACTCATTCTCAACCAAATTTCATTTTCAATCCTTCATCAGCTTATCACGCTCAACTCGACTGGCAACAAGCAATCAACCATTCTGATTGGAAAACGTCAAAGAAAGAATGACTGAATCCCGTTGCTGCATCAAGTTTTCTCGTTGGTCCCATACACACAAGAAGTAAGAATATGATTTCAACCAAATAGATTTTTAAGAATAAAACGGACAACAACAGACTTTTGATTTTTTTCTTTGGATACGCTACCACGGGTTCTAACACTAACACAACCTTCGTTCACTCGACATCCTTCATCTGCTTTAAGCAATCAACGATGCGATTTGATTCAAACAAACTCTCTTCACAAATTCTCGTTTGATTGCTAACTCGTTACGATCATCTGTTGAAAAGAAAACATGACTGTCCCCCCCTTGTAAGCGTGCATTGCGTCTGCCAATTCCTCCGACGAGGTTTTATAACAACAACTCCCCACACTCCTTGTCCAATATAGTGTCTCCTACGTGGAAGCCCGCCTAAGACTACATTTTTTCGTGCATCTCGAATCACACCCAGATCCATTACATGGGTTTTTTCCCCTTTCTAAATCGCTTCAGCGATGAAGCTCTACATGATCTCCTACAATTCAATGAGGAGATTCAGATGTCTTCATACAGCCGGCCATTCACATCGTTTGCAATGAGAGGCCACAGTCGTCGGCCACCCCGAAATTCTTGGTCGTTTGGCACAAATTCTCATCAAGCGCATCACGATCGAAGCGATGGCGCCACAATGAGTCCTACGAGTCCCATGCGGCAGAACGATGAACCGCGTTATTCTCCTTCTCTGGCTCCACGCTACTGCGACCCTTCGTGGTTATCCCCAGTGCAGGAATTTTTAAGGGTGGCGGGTACAATGGTAAGTCACTAAAACGAGCACTTTTTTCCATTTTCTCTTTCAACCAGTTTAAACGTACTGAAAAGGCTATTGAAGGAGAGAAGCTTTTAATTGATCTTGTTAGAGATGGAAATGGTGATGGTGAAAAGAGCGCGGAAGCAAGAGGTGTAAGCGCTGAGTCCCTCAAAGTCGTCGCCAGATTTGGTTTTCAGACCTTCATGTGGTTATTGGGATGGTTATTGGGATCTGGTCCCGGTAAACTTAGGGCAGCATTTAAGGGAACTTCAAAGTGAACGGGGATTGGAGCGACCCGTGGTTCATTTGATTCTTTGCAGAGTTGAAGACTCGGGAACTCTGCGTCAAGAATGGATTTCGGATGCCTTGTAAGCCATAAGTGAGGGCAAAATATTTCTGAAGTTTCTGTTTTCAGCGATCGCTGTGTGGCTGCACAGAGGCTAGGAAGGCAAATTTGGAATGGAAGAATACCTCGCGAGGCGCGCAACTTTGAGGCGCGGGACCCTGAGGCGCACACGTATTTGAAGCAGTTCCTTTTGGCTGCACGTTCGTCTATCAGTACAAACTCCGGAGAAGTTGATGTCTCAGTCTCTATCAGTACAAAGTTGGGAGAAGTACATGTAGCAGCAAAGCAGTCGTTAAGATTTTAGAAACGTTGCACCCGGCTGCTAAACCTCTTACATGCACCTCCTATGCCTTTGTTTTCGCCCATTCATTCTCGCTCTTTTTGTTCTCCACGAAACGAGTTATAACCAACCAACACCAAACCAATTTAACTTAATGATGCTCGCTGTCGCGCTCTTCGGCCTCATTACGACGGCAACGGTTCTTTGCCGGACCATGTCCTTTGCGATAAGTACCCTAAGGGGCTTATTCAAACTCGCTCTCCTTCTCTTTCAGGTGACAACGGCGGTGTTCATCACCTTTGCTCTCTGCGCTATTACCCACACGTTCGTCCCCGTGCTCCCCTGGACTACAACCGCCCGCGACCTTCTCTTCCAGTCAACTCGGTGGTCCCTTGCGACGCTGGCTGCCTCCGATCATCTGGAACGCTGCCTCGTCCACTACCACCAGCTCGCTGAAGCCTGCACCACCCATGTGTTCCCTCACATCCCATCGGTAGGTTGCTCTCTACTCCTTCTCATCTTCGTTTACAGCTCGCTCGAACATTTCTCGACCTCGCTTCTCGCCGTTGTGTCCGCTTTGACTGGCGCAGTCTCAACTGTTACCCGACTCTCTGCCTCTATCCTCGCCAGCTCTACCTCCAACTTTCTAGCATACGTTAACACGAAGAGCAGTATTGAGAGGTATTCTTGAGGAAGCTCTCTTTCGGGACATGCGTCTGTGCAAATGGTG